GCTAGAGATTTTAAGGGTTTCAGCACAACTACATCACATCCAATTGTACATGGGGTGAACTCCGCGATAGAGCTGTGTTCTGGCGTTCTGGGTTTTGTGAGATTCCAGCCAAGATGTTTACCCAGTAAAATCCTTCCTGACTCCTCCGCTTGCCTTGTTTATTTAATGAATTTTATAAGTATCTGAAAGAGCGTTAATTTTCTACGTGAAATGTACCGAAGCGCTGGTGAAAACGGTCCGTCGTTAAACGCGTTTAATTTTGGCGTTTAACATAAACTTAGTTTCGTCAAACTGCGTTTCGCTTGTTTCTGATGAAAACGGGCCTTACTCGCAATAGTAGCGTTAAACCGGCGCTACACGATGCGTCGAACATTCGCTCCAACGTTGGACCGAACATTTGAGTCAAAAAGTTCGACAATTCGTGCGGCAGATGTATCTGCTACACGGTGTTTCGCCAAAAAATGCTTGAAGCAAAATTTCTTTTGAATTGTGTTTCAAAGGTTTGTCTACATTTGTTAATATGGAGGATACTGCTGACGCTGCAGTTGTAGCCGCAGCGGTGCGAGTTTTTAGTTGTGTGAATGGTTTACTCAACGTCATTTTGAAACTTATTTTTCCACAATTTGTATTAATAGTTATAAAAATTTTGTCGAAATTCCATTAAAGTAATTTTCAACAAGATCGCACGCAATTCTGATTTATTTTCCTGACTGCGTGTACTTGTTATGATATTCTTATCTTTCCTGGGTCTCAGTCAAAGTGTTAAGTAAAAATTTTGAAAATCGTTTATTTCATTACGTTTCGACGAGACAACAGCGCAATCATTAGATTTAAAATTTACACAAACTCATGATTGGTAAAAATCAAAGTTCTTTTAGGTCTTTGCCTTCTTGAAGGAAGGGTCTAGAGACAAATGTATGGTTTAAATTTTTTAAATTTTTCTTAAATTTTAGAAAGACAAGAATATCATAACGTAGGCAATATCGACGAGGAACTAACAAACCAATATTTTCCAAATATTTATCCCACCTACCCATCGATTTCGATAATYTGAATGAAAAAGGAAAAAATCTGGAATCGATCACATTTTAAGTGCTGCTTGATTTATGTGACACTTGTTCACAACTTTGGTTTCTAATTTAATGTTTTCGCACGCAAAATTATGTTAAGTATTTAAGACTAAATTTACTTAAAACATAATATTAAGGGCTCCGAGGACAGATGCAAAGCAGTTTGGTATCGGATTACCGTTTAACCACAATTCGTTTTGTTTTATCGTTCTTGGACAGGGCGACCCATGCTTCAAACTAGAGATGAGCTGAAACGTAATTTCAAAATCACTGTTAAAACTGTGAATGTGATTTTTTTTTACCCTGTGAATGTGATTTCACTTGTCGTTGCCGTTTTCGTGATATAGGAGCGTTATAAGGTGATGCCCATTGTGCCTCACTTGCAGAAACAATTTCAAAACATTTGTAATTATTTTTTTATATAAATATCGCTATTTAGGTATACAACAAATAATACTTTATACTCAAAGTATAAATGATTTTAAGAATACTAAAAAATAACAATAAAATGTAGGCTCAAGGGAACCCGTGGATGCAAGCTTTCATTAACGATTTAACGAACAAAATAATTTTTTTGGATTCGCTCTTTCGCCGGGCCACATGTGCAACATATGATCACTACACGCAACTCGCAATAGTAGCGTTTAAAGCTAATAGGTAGTGATTTGTTGCTCAATTCTACTTCAAACCAAACATTAGTATGAGCCGTATGGTCTTGCAAGACTCTCGCACAACTCTTGCAAAAAGTTTGGTATTGCAGGACATGGTCTTGGTCTTGGTCTTGTTCTTGCATACATAGTTTTGTAAAATGTTTAACGGGATGTATCACCATTAATTATAATTAAAAAAATACACCCCTTTGTAGAATTAAATCAACAATACTTTTAATTAAGTTTCTAACTACCCGGTTAAATCCACTAAAAAGTTTATGGAAAACAAACTATTGAAGCTGTACATCAAATCAACGAATGTTTTTCTTCAAGCGTTGCAGCGATTCCTTTGACTCGGTCAAAAATACCGACAAGAGCCGGAACATGCTCCAACGCGAACTTTAGAGGCTCGACATTGGAGCTCTAGGTTGATGAACCGTCAAGCCTCCAACGTTGGAGGGTGTTCATAGCATCGTGTAGCCTTGCATTGACTCGGTCAAAAATACCGACAAAGGTTGGAACATGCTCCAAKGYKMRCGTTGGAAGCTCGACATTCATAGCTCAAAGTTCGAAAGTCGGCCACACGATGCAATGAACCGTCAAGYCTCCAACGTTGGARGGTGTTCGTAGCATCGTGTAGCGCCGGCTTTAGGAGTGAAAATATAAGGCGCTCTTTAATATCACCTTTGRRTCAATCACGTTTTARATCACAATTTATTTTCACGTTCGTTAGAGTTTGTGATTGGTATTTATTAATCGCTGTAAAAAAATCACAGGTATCGATATGTTGCTCAACTCTAATGAAAAGGGGTCCTTGGGCCAAAACAGTTTGGGARCCACKGCTTTAGGGATAGCTATTGATTACCTTTTGTCAAGCAATGCGTTCTTTATTGCGAAATATGGGCACCTTTTACCAATTGGTATCTAATAACCAAAGTGAATAGATTTTGTTTTTTTCTAAATGCATTTTATATACAATACAATTGAACTAATCATCTCCTCCAGATCAACGAAACAAATTTTGAATCACCCTGTATAAGTACTCTTAATTGACTAAACTTTCACATGCAACACTTACAATGACAATATTAATTGTCAAAGCTACCAAAAAATAATTAGCTTTAGTTTTTTGAATAACCTACCTATACCTTCTTTGCTTCCTTTTTAAGCTGACCTTACTCGGACTATTTTCGTCATTCGGAAAGTCTTTCAGCAGATCTGAATAATCTAAAAGTCAGTGAAATTATATTTAGATCGAGTTAACGCATGAGTGCATTATTCCAATAAATATTACCATTTTGTCCTGATCAATAAAATTAAACACACACACTTTAAAGCGCTCTGGAAAATTAAATTAGCTAGTCCGATTTATTTCATTTATAACTAATTTAATAAAACAGGCAGCAGCTATATGTATAACTTAATTAATATAACTGGATTTGTAAACTATAAACTAGTCATTTGAATGTTGATAGTATTGTTACTTGATTACAGTGTGCTTCCCAAAAATGTTGTGAATATTTMAAAAATGTATCACTTGAAGTAAGTCATATTAAGTATCACTATTAATATTAATGYATTAATATACAGGGTGTTAATATACATCACTATTAATATTAATGTATTAATATACAAGTAGATGCATTCCTGGCAGCAGGTAATAGTGCCAGTAAWTTTGGATATATTTCCGTAATAGACCATATACCGAAAAATCTTAGTTTCAATTAAAAAATAATTGTGTATATTTTCCTGACTGTATTTCAACTTAATTCAAAAGACATTCCTGGGTTCCAGTCAATTGTATTGTTTACCATTTAAAATATTACAAAAACGTTTCGGTGTTTTTCTCTACCATCATCAGTTTGTTTGTATGGTTGTTTCTATCTTCACATTTGGCAAGCCATTGAAAAGTTTGGAAATTGAAAAATGATTTTTCAACGGCTTGCCAAATGTGAAGGTAGAAATAACCATACATACAAACTGATAATGGTGGAGAAAAACACCGAAACGTTTTTGAAATATTTTAAATGGTAAACAATAAAATTGACTGGAACACAGGAATTTCTTTTGAATTAAAAAATAATATTTATTAATATTCCGTTTGGAATATTTTAATCAAAATTTACAGGCAAGCACTTAACAACAATACACGTTTTGTGATAAACATTTTCGTTTTTAGCTTTGCCAGTGTCGCCGATACAGGCACGTCTGTGGATAAATTTAAATAAAAAATGTTACGCCACTGATTTTTCTAAAAATAAATATTACTTGTCATATTCTTATTCACTTTGGAAGACAAAGGTCTCTTGACTTTTTTTCTACAACGCACCGTTTCTGAGAAAAAAGTTAAATCGATTTATTGCACAGCTTAATCGGGTTGTAATTAAATAGAGTTTAGTATAAAAACAKMAAAAAATTKACTATATCAATTATATTACAAAAATATTAGTAGCCGCACTTGACATCAGTCTTAGAGTTTCTTTATTTATATATTAGATTACTTTCCCATATTATATTACTTTCCCTGTGAATAAAATTTAACTAATTATTAGTATTGAATGGGTACCAAGTTTGCTACGATACGGAAAATGTTATTCATTAATTCTAAAGAGTAACTACTTTTTTAGCTCAAAATAAAGTCCCCTTATTCTATTGCATGCATGTACCCGCCTTCTTATTTTTGTACTCGCCCAAAATGTCTGTCTAAGTGTAATAGCGGCATCTGTAATGCGCTGTATTAATTCATCTCTTATATGTATTTCTCCGGCATAAACCAACTCTTTCATCCTGCCCCAAACGAGGCAAGTCTAACAGAGTTAGATCTGGACTTCTGGTAGGCCATGATATGTGGCTTCCTCTCGCCATCCATAGATTCGTAAAAGGCTGATCAAAGTACTCCCTTACAGGAAACGCCAAGGCAACACCCAAATGGTTGATGTCGAGGAGTCGCTGGGCCCTAGGAACTTTGGTTGGGCTCATGACAGTCCACTGTGGTCTGAACAGACACCTACCCCTACTAGAAATGGGTGATTGCCCCGTTTGTCCACAATGTGGAATAATAGGAGTCTGTACATCACTGGTCGTCTACTAGGAAGCGCCTCAATGGGGCCTTTCACACTCTCCCACATCGAATTGTCTTCCCTGCAGTGGAGGCGGATCATTGCCTTTGTCAGGGAAACAAGACACCTGGGTGGCGAAAATCAGGACTGATAAGGTGGGGATGGTGAAAAGGGCCTTTAAGGTCTACTCGCCGGACCCATCGGATCCCCCCACAATACTACTACTACAACTCCCTTACAATTTCCAATAATTTGCAGGACCTCAGTCATGCTGGAAGATCAGGTTCTGGCCAATATTTGACGGGGAATTTGCCGTAATGGTGGCAGGTGATTAATAAGAAAGTATTCGTATCTTGGCCCATTTAATATGTATGGCAGAAAATGTGGCCCGATTATTTCATCGTTTATTGCACCACAGCAAACAATAGCACTGAACCGTCTTTGGTAATTTCGGTTGGAGGAAACGGGGACTTTCCTCGGTCCAGTAATGAGCATTATGACAGTTGGAGATCCGCTCTCGATTGAAATTTGATTCATCGGTCCACAAAATTATACAGAGAAAAGTGTAGTCCTCCAAATCGTCGTTTAACATAAATCGGCCCATTCTCCTTAAAGGTTCCTCTTCAATCAAGTCTTGAACCGGTGTATAATGATAGGGATGTAGTTTCGCTTTGTTCAATGTCGCCCGAAYTTTCCACTGTGACACTATAAGACGCCTTAGGGATTTTCTTGRAAAACCCTAAGAATAGCTTCTTCGTCATTAGTGCCGTAACGTGCCTTGTCCTTTTCCTGACTTACTGACCCTTCGAGAGGTGTTGTCAAAGGCACGAAAATTTGGAAGACGCCTGTTTGGAAATTGACGCTGAYATTCGYGGCGCACTTTAGCACTATTTCCGTCGCAAAGTCCATAAATGTAAATAATATCAGCGTATTCAGCATAACAGCTCGGCCATTTCAACAACTAAAGTTTTCAACTAATGTGAACTTACTCGAAATTACGTAACACGCAAATAGAAGGTGACAATTAAAGTTACTCAGAGACTCGAAATGACAGCAATTATTAATTGTGTGTCAAATGTCAATCAGTGACAAAAATTAGTGCATAGCCAACTTTTTCATTAAAAAAAACTCGATTACGCTGTGCAAGAAATCGATTTTATTTTTTTTAATCGAAACCGGGAACGACGTAGAATAGAAGTCCAAAATTGTCCCAAATTGAAGCAATTGAATAATCATAGATGAGTTATTATTATTTTAAAAATCAGTGCGCAACATTTTTTTATTTAAAATTATCTGCTTGTGCCCACGTGCTTGTTCCCACGCCACCGGAAAAGCTTGAAACAATTTTTTAACACAAAACATGTATCATTGTTAAGTGCCTAAGCCTGTAAAATTTCATTAAAATATTAATAAATAACATTTTTTTATTAAAACTTTAACACTCTAAGTATATATCGGCAAATCGAGTAGTAGTAAACTAGGATAAAGAAACCACATTCATAAATTTAATATTTGGCTATTTAGCTGCCAGTTTCGGAATATATTCGAAAACTTACCATATTTTTCTGGGTCATCGCTAATATTTTCATTATCTTCAGTCAGATTGTTCATCAGATTGTTGATTTCATAAGAACATTGAGATTCAGCCTCCTTTATATCTGAGCTCGATTTACTGTTAATATTGTCCATAACAAATATTATTTTATTTTATTTAAAAATTCTGAAAATAGATTGATTATAATAGAGTAAAGTGATTTTTCAAACGTTTATTGCGGGGTTTAATACCTTCCTAAAATGTGGAAATTATGTTTGCGTATCTTAAAACGCCAAAAAGGTTATTCTTAAGATGCCGTATAATATGACAATTAAATAAAACTTGGAATATTGAATCAACCAGAGAATACAGGGAATTAATTATGTAACTAACTCTATGCTTACTTAATATAAAGCTATATCTAATTTAATAAAACTTATTTTTTCACTTAATAATTAAGCAATAACATCTTACCAAATTACCTGGTTTTATACTTTTAAGTGCACACGTTTTTCACTAACACGACATATTACTAAAAGTGTATTTTTCAATTATGTTAATGAAACTTTTCTATACACGTTGCGTTTGTAGTACGTCCAGTAAGGTGCTTAAGCGAAGCCGTTGAAATGCTTTATACAATAGAGATATTAACTATTTTTAAACAGCTTTTCTTTGGTTTTTCTATGACTTCCTCGTTGATTTAGGATTATTCTGTACGTCCACTGTCGTTAAGCAGTGAGATATATTTCATGAGTTTCTAGGCTAATTTAAAACAATCAAAATGTTAAATTCGATTCAAATTTTTCTTCTTCGATAAGACACTCTTCTTCACAGTACGTACTTGAATTGTTTTTGGTTAGACCTTACGCATAGCTAACGTTAACTAGAACAATTTTAGGTAAACGTGATATTTAGTTGGTAAGATATTTAATATTACACTACACATTTTCCCCGATTTATTGGCCATTAAATTAAACCAATTATCAATCGGACTATTGGGAGTACAGTTAACAATACATAAAAGTAGACGACGCCTAAAGGCGATTTTTCCCGATTTTGGTAAATCAGGCTTTGTGAAATACGTCAAATATATGTACAATGTTTGTCACAATCGTGTTCTTGGCCTTACAAATCTCTCAGGTACTGTTTTTTTTTACCATCAGAAAAGTAACAAAAGGGGGGGGGGCTTTCGCACCCCACCCCCTCCCCCCCAATGGTCCGCAAAACAATAAATTGCTGAATAATTCTTATTTTTATTATAATTGATTTCCGAAAAATATATTTGAAATTTAGTGGCAGTGTGATATAATAAACGTTAATTCGTAAATGAAGAGGAAGAAAAGGAACACAATCTAAAAGTCTAAATCAAACTGTAAGCGGATTTTAATGAAATACATGCTAAAGCTGCAGCCTTGATCGAAAACACTGAAATTTCGAGGAAATTTCATGAACAAACTGCAGATTCTCTTTTTACAATTTTCTAAAATATTCAAATAGCCTTCATCTTTAAAGTTTATCTTCACTTCCTAATCATCCCGCTAAAGATGAAACATGACTGAAACGTTTCAAATGTGCAGTTATATTGCACAAATGTAACATATCATGGAAACGTTTCAAAAATGTTTCAGAAACGTCTTTAGCGCACATGAGATTCATGGTTTAACCGCTTCCCATCGCGCATGGCATTTATTATCTTATGAAACATAACCACTATCGTTTCTCCCTTTGAATATAAAACTAACAGGAAGGAGTCTACGCTCAAATCAGTGCGACCGGAATGGAGGTTGGATATGGCCGACCAGTCGGCCGCTTTGGCAGTGGCGTAGGGCATTAGAATATGATAAAATGTGGAAAATATAGTATACACTGATGATATATTTGATAAAAAAATGGAATCAACATAGGTTAATCTGTTGTAGTGAATTAATGAAGCTTGACGAGATTATACACATCCTTAAATTGGATTAATATGTAATTATCTAGCGTCTAATTTAATTGAAGA